ATCTACCTTTCTCATTCTTATTAAGATTACCAAAAAGATGGCTCAATGGTTAAGAGATCTTCACAGGACCCAGATTAAATTCCCAGCACCAACAGGGCAGTTTACAACTGTCTGTAATTCAAGTTCCAGGGGATCTGACACCTTCACACCAATGCACATAAAATCAAATTAAACACACACACATACACAGAATACTAAAAAAATCCAAATCTCACTGAGGTCATTAACTCCCAAAGCAAAGAAATATAGTAGCAGCTACTATGATTCCAGTCCTCACCCCCGCCCCCAAGCACAGGCACTGGCTGGAATGACTGAGGCCCCATCCCAAGCCACATAGGCAAAGAAGTCGACTATAGGAAAGGAAGACCGTGGCAGGCTCAGAGGCTGACCCTTCCAAGAGGCTCAAGCCCCTCCTCATCAGCGTCTCCTACAAGCCCAGGGCATCTATCCTTAGCAGCAAATCCACATGACCAGGTACTGTTTACAGTACGTCCTGGGACAATGGAGAGAGAGGGAGGACAGATAGCAGTCAAGCTGCATTTAGGAAAGATTAACATTTATCAATCATCTACAAAGTCTGCATTAGATACAGATAACATTGCTCCCATTTCACCAGCAAATTGCTAGTGTCTAAGTAATAGTCTCATTGCCAATAAGAGCAGGGATTTGAACCCAAGTCTGAAGCAATCAACTTCCACTGCTGGAACAGAAACAACACAACCCTTGGTCCCACCTCTTCGTCAATCCAAGAATCAAACATCCCAAGATGGAAATAAAAGATAATGCCCCAACTGTTCTCAAAGCTAGCAGGAAGAAGATAAAGGAGGGGGTGTTCTATCAAGACTACAGATACCCACTTGACACCCAAAACATCGCTATTAATTCTCCACAGAAGGTTGGGAGCATCAAATCATGTTAGAAATTCATTTGTCTGAGCCAGGCGTTGGTGGCGCATGCCTTTAGTCCCAGCATCAGGAGGCAGAGGCAGGCAGATCTCTTTGAGTTCGAGTCCAGCCTGGTCTACAAAAGCTAGTTCCAGGGCAGCTTCCAAAGCCACAGAGAAACCCTGCTCAGAACGCCCCACCCCTCAAAATTTTTAAAAAAAGAAATTTGTCTGGTATCCCAGAATGCCCCCCCCCCCCCTTTTTGAGACAGGGTTTCTCCTTGTAACAATCCTGGCTGTCCTGGAACTCACAGAGATCTGCCTGCCTCTGCCTTCTGAGTGCTGGCATTAAAGGCATGCCCCACCACTGCCCAGCTTGCATTTCCTTTGATAAAATTCACTAAAGGGCTGCTAGGAAGGCCATACAGAGAGCCAGCTGCCACTTTAACTTTCCCGCCACCTCTAGCTGGGAGGAAGGACATAGCCTACTCACTGCCTTTCTGTCCCCAGGGATTCTTCATCAGGACTCTGAAGTCTTGCTCAGTTCAAACCTCTCCAAGTCAGCTGCCAAGCCTCAGGCTCTGTACATTTACAAACTCTGTTGTAGAATAGAAGCAATACCCTGGGGTTCTTACAGTGGAAGCCAACAATCACTTAGATACTTTCGGCTTCTCTCAACCTGATTCCAGGATTGGGAGGGTCCAAAGACTGAGGGTGCCTCAACTACGGGGAGGGAGTAAGACTGGGGTTGTCATCTCCCTCCCCTGAAGGCTGGCCAAAGAAGGCCCTACTCAACAGAGGTGCCAACAAAACTCCTTTCAAAGCTTTTCCCATGAAAGGCTTCGATGCAACTACAGGGAAAGGTGTTTTTCGTGGCTTAAGAGAAAAGGGCAGAATCTCTCCCTTCTGCAGACAGCTACAAGAAAAACTTGTCACCATGGGGCTGGAGAGATAGCTCAGAGGTTTAGCCCACCAGCTGCTCTTTCAGAGGACCTGGGTTCAATTCCTGCACACACTTGGTGCCTCACAACCATCTAAATTCAGGTCCAGGGCGTCACATGCATTCTTCTGATCTCTGTGGGCACCAGGCTCCCACATTATATATGGACACCCACAGGCCAAACACTCACAAACATAGAATCAATCTAATAAAAACCTGCTATCATCCCTCCTTTTAGGGACAGCAGTACTGGAGAAGAATCCTTAGTGTAACTAGCTACTAGACCCCACCCAGAACCAGATATGAGGACAGCAATCCAAAGCTTAGGTCATTCTTCCAAGAGTGGGCACCGGGTCTATCTATCCCCTAACTAGTCATTTCTGACTCTCCCAAAGTCCTGATAGGTTATTGAGCTGAGAGGGCCCCACCCACTCTCTCACATTGGCCTATCACAGGGTGGAGTCTAGCTTCCACTGCTTTCCCTCCCATCTAAGCCCAAAGCACAACCTGCTAGAATGGGGTGACATCGGGGTGACATGGTCGCCCGAGGCTGCAGTAAGCGCCCCTTCTTGCTAAACGGGTACTTCTGCTGTACCAGGGAGGGGGCCATCTCCCCCATCTGCCCCAAAGATGATCCAATTTTGCTGCTTTTACCATCACCGATTTCAGCACCTGTTTTACTTCCCCTACTGTAGTTACTTCTGAATCATCAACACACCAGGCGGTCTTAAAGCTCAGAGAACAGAAGCTAAAAAAAAAAAAAAAAAAAAAAAAAAAAAAGAAGAAATCTGCAGTGGTAAACAAGTTCACTAAGAGACCACTCAAGCCAGAGGCAACTTGTTTCTTTCCAGACATCAGCTCATTAACACTGTTCCACAGTCCTTCGCTCTTCCAAAGGTAGATGAGGGATGGGTATGGGGAGGGACAGGGACTCCTAAGGGAGAGAGAAGGACACTGCTCCCTCCCACTCCTATGTGGTGCAAGTTTGTAAATGATGTGCAATTCAGCTGGCTGGCTTGGCTGTTGGGTGCCCAAGCAGGGGTGGGGGGCGCCGACGACAGAAGACCCGACCGACCAAGAGGCTGCTGCCTGACAATTCAGATTCCTCCAGGGAGAAGTCTGAAGGTCAAACCACACACAAAAAAGAAAGAAAACAAAAAACCAACCTCAAGAAAACCAACCAACACCGGCAACCTGACACTGTCAGGAAGCCAGCTGCTCTACTCTCGGCCGCCTGTCACTCATCCCGCTGGATGAGAAACTTCAGCTCTGATTTGCTCCGGGGCTGCCATGGCACAGCCAGATTCCTTCTACCCTGCAGGGGCCTTGCCACCCTCGGGACGCTGGAGGAGACCCTGCATGGGAGCGCTGGGTGGGAAGGACTCACTGGCTGACACTGGTTTTTACCACTATGCCACCCCAGGTCCTTGTCCATCCTGATTTCTTCACCTCGGCCTGAAGCTTTGGGGCCTTTTCCTGGGATGAGGTTGTGAAGGGAGCGGGAAGGCAGGCTGCCTTTGCACTTCCCAGCACAGAGAGAGCCCACCCAGCAGAGGCGGTCAAGTTGCTGCCTGGATCACACTGCTGGGTCAGCGACGCAGTCAAGAACGAACAGGGACCCTGGCAAGGAGGCGGAGCTAGCAGGACTTCATCTCCCGGCTGCTTTAGAGGGCCAAGAAACACGAACTGCTCCCCTTTCCCCCATCCCACTAAGGAATTCCAGAGAAGCTGGGACACCACCGCAGCAGCTTTGCCCCTAGGCTAGGCAAGTTAGGGAGACTTCTTGGAAAGTAAACCCAGGAAAAAGTGACCTGCTGATTAATATTAATCAACAGAGGGATGAGGACGGTCTCCCGGGCCGCACAGCTGGCAACCTTCCAGGATCCAGGCCTCAGTCTACTCAAATGTGGCACGGGCCTTCTACGCCCACATTAGAGAGACAAGGCAGCAACGCTTGAGATCTCGTCCCAAGAGCGTGCTCTACACTCTGCCTCACAGCCAGGTGACCGCAGTCCTATGGGAGCCCTCTAGAAAAAAAAAAATAACAAAAAAGCAAAAACGCTAGTCCTTACACTCGACGGAATTTCTATCAGCTATCTTGGACACACTCCTCAAGGCCAGATGAACATTAGGGGAAGAGTTCCAGGGTACCCCACTGTGATCAAACCGAGCGATTCCATCTTCTCGGCCCCAACCTGCTCCCCGCCCCCGCCGGAGGCCCGAGGCCTTCGCGCTCCAGTCCCCAAGCGCACGCCAGAGAGGGCCTGCGACACCCCCTCCCGTGTTCTCCAATCCGACCCTCGCCCCCCAAGAAGGCGGGAGTCGCGAGCCCCTGCCCTGTACAGACAACTCGCACTTTTTCTTTTTTTTTCCGCTGCGCGATTCAGAAACACGCCGGGTCCGATGCCATCCGGCGAATTATGTAACCAGGGACACCGCTCGCTCCCGGGCTAAACAAACGCGGCTGCGTGCGTGCGTGTGTGGTGTGTCTGTGTGTGGTGTGTGTCTGTGTGCGCGCGCATCGGCGGCCCCGGGGGAGCGCACCGGGCAGGGAGGGGCTCCGGCCGGGCCTCGGGTCGGGCTCATCGGCTCCGCCAGAGTCCCGCGCCCAGCGGTGACCACGGCCCTCCCCCTTCCCCACCGCCTTCGCCGCCCCGCCTCGGGCCAGTGAACTTCGTCCCGAGTCCCCGCGCGCCGCCACGGCCGAGCGCCCCGGCCGGCATCCCAGGCTCGCGGGGCCTGCGTGAGAACTCCGGTCCCGGCGGGGTTCCAGCTCGGGACCCCCCCTCGTCCCCTCCCCGCGGCCCCCCGGATAGGCGCGCGGCGCGGCGGTGGCGGTCGGGGGGGGGAGGGAAAAGTGACCACTCCATCCCCGAGCCGCGGGTGGGGGCGGCGCGCGCGGGTGGCCTGGCGCGACGCGCGCCCCCGGGGGGAGGGGTGGCCGACGGGTGACAGCTGCGCGGATGACACCCTCCCGCTGGGCGCTGGCAGCCCGGGCCTCGCTGGAGCGCTCCCCCGACACACACACACACACACACACACACACACACACACGGGTGGGAGCGCCGACGGGTGCGCCAGGACTGACGGACCCCGGGGTCCCGCCGAATTCTCCTCCCGCCCGCCCCCTCCCCGCCCGGGGGGCGACGCAAAGTTTTTGGGAAGTTGCGCCCCTACCTTGTTTGGTGAGCACCAGGGCGTCTTCCCTCCGCGCCTGGGTGATGATGGAGCCGTGTTCCATCTAACAATCCCGCGGGCCCGGGCTGGCTGGGCGGGAGGACGCGCGGGCGAGCGCGCAGGCGGGCTGGGCTGGGGGGCCTGGGCGGGGGCCCGTCGGGCTCCGGCTCCCGAAGACTCCGACTCCCACAGCCGTTCACATCCCCCCCGCCTCACGTTTCCTCCCCGGGCCGGGAAGGGAGGCGGCCTACACAGAGGGCGGACGGCCCAGGCGGCGGCTCCCCTAGTGCCCCCAGCCCCGATCCCCCGGTGGCAGCTCCGGGCTCCTCAGTTTGGGTCCAACATGGAGAATCCGGAGCGAAAACAAGAGGAGGAAATGGGACACGAGGCGGTTTCCAGGCTCCCCCCTCCCCTCCGTACTCCAGATAAACAACCCGCGGCTGCAGCGCCCACCCCCGCGCTCCTCCCCGCTCTCGAACCGGCCTCTCCGCCGCCTGCCGGCGCGTCCCGCTCGGGGCCAGCGTCCTAGACCCCAGGACCCTCCACCAGCGAGCGGCAGGGGCTGCGGACCTCGCAGAGGTTTGCTATTTTGTTACGGAAAACGCGAATCCCCGAGGGGGGTGGGGTGGCGGGCGGGCAGACTGGCGGGGAGACTTGAAACCGCTCCGGTACTCCGATTGGTCCCCTCGCAGAAAGGGGGCGTGGCCCCTCCTTACTATGCGGTGCAAGGACCCAACAACATTCCAGTCGCCTGGGCCACGCCCCCGGGCCACTCCCCGCTCGCTGGGCCGCCGCCTCCCCGTCCCCTCGGCCACACCCCCTTCCCAACTACTTAAAAGGCCACTCCAGAGAGTGTCCCTGTTCGGTGCCCCGGTGTCCCTGTTTCCCTGCGATGTTGGGAGAGGGCTCTATGGTTCCACCGTGTGGAATCTGGGCAGATGGAGAAGCCAAACCTGGGTTCGAGTCTATTTCGGTATTTCCTGCTTAGAACCCAGTGCCTTATGTAAGACTACCGCTGATGAATCCGGAAAGGAGTGTGTAGGGGATGATGGAACAAGGACTACGGGATTGACCTCGGGACCCGATGACCTCCACACTAAAATGACACCTTATGTGCAAGGTGCCCAATCAGGCATCCCATCCTCCTAGCCCAGATCTCCGCCACCTTCCCATAGTTCACTCCTCATTCTGAGGATGACAGAGGTGCCTAGTGGACCCAGACAACTCTTTGTCATCCTTTAAGACCCCAGGCCTGGGTTTGAACTCCCAAAATGAGCAAGGTTTCACGGGAAGAGATTCCACTCTGAAGCAGCTCCAAAGGAGCGGTTTCAACTCCATATCAGGTTTTTAAAAGATACTGTGTGTTATGTGTGCGCCCCACTGCCCTGGAGGAGGTCTGAGGACACAGCTTTCCAGTCTATTCTGTATTTCTTTCTTTTTTTTTTTTTTTTTTTTTTTTTTTTTGGTTTTTCGAGACAGGGTTTTTCTGTATTGTTTTGGATTTTGGAGGCTGTCCTGGAACTCACTCTGTAGACCAGGCTGGCCTCGAACTCACAGAGATCCGCCTGCCTCTGCCTCCCGAGTGCTGGGATTAAAGGCGTGTGCCACCAACACCCGGCCTATTCTGTATTTCTACAGTCGACTCTGATGCTCAAACTCACGTCATGGAGGCTTTCGCGGGAAGAGTTCTTACTGACTGAGCCGTCCTGTTGCCCCATTTGAAGTGCTTGTTGGCCATCTGTCCTCTGTGAGATCCCTTAGGAGACAGGGATCTGCCCAGGTCCGGGCTGATGAGACGGATAAAGCAGTCAGATTGCAATGGGTGACTCAAAGGAACTTACTGTGAACTTCAGTGGAGCTCACCCTGCTAAGGAAGGTCAAGACCTTATCGTGGGGGGACAGGGACAGCTGGTGTAGCCTCCCTACTCTAGATCTCACAGCCTGATATTTGTCTCTCTTAATCTTGCCCAAGTAGGTCAAAGCCTACATGGTACTATTGTCGTGATATGTACATACCCGTGTTCCTTAGGAGTGTGCATGCTTGCCTGCTCCTACACACAAGTACTTTTTTTTTTTACATCATTTTAATGAAAATGCTGTTTTTTCCCAAATGAAAGCGGCTGTTTGAGAAGCTCTGTGTTATGCTTATGTAATTCCAAATGTCTGAGTTTGGGTAGATGCTAATTCATTAACAGAAAGGAAGTCGGGGGAGTTCTGGCACCTTCACCTGCCACCATTAAAACAATAGGATCGGCCAGGTAGATCTTAATGGGCTGCTAAGGGACCTAGTTAGATTTTGGCCCTGTCCCCTTGCACGGTAGTTCAGTGATAGTGGGGACAGGACTGGGTACTGAGGGAGACCGCTCATGTTCATTTCCTCATCCATAGATACAGTCTGTCCCCTCATATAGAGTACTTCCATATATATTGTCTGACTCATCTGATGTTTCATTTCAAGGTTAGCAGAATAGATATGTTAATCTTACAGGAGAAGGAACATGGTCTGGAAAGGTTAATTGATTCACCTGAGATCTTATGAAGAAGCAGCAACAGTGGAGTGTGGTGGCATACACCAGTAGTCCCAGCACCGGGGAAACTGAGGCAGGGATTTCATGAGTTCAAGTCTTTCTACACACCTTATTTAGGAACTGCCTGCCAACTAAAAAGGCCGCTTGAGACTGGGAACTTTCCAGTTCATTATTGGATTTCTTGTGTCTTATGAATAACCTGACAGAACAAGAGGTATGTTTGCTCCACACGTGTTGAAATCATGTGTCAGTCACTGTTCTTTTGTCCAGGGGTGCTCATAGCCGGGAATACATTTTATATTGTGAGACAATAATAGTAAATACTTCATCAGAGTACTCATCTTTTGTATGCGGATACGGTCTGCTAGTTTCCATTGTGTGTCATCTTCCATTTCTTTGAGTTTTGTTTTTGTTTTTTTGTTTTGTTTTTTCAAGACAGGGCTTCTCTGTATTGCTTTGGAGCCTGTCCTGGAACTCACTCCATAGACCAGGCTGACCTTGGACTCACAGAGATCCACCTGCCTCTGCCTCCCCATTGCTGGGACTAAAGGTGTGCACCACCAACACCCAGCCTGAATTTTGATTTTAAATCCTGACTAGTGGGATTGTAAGTATGTCTCTATCTGTGGCTTCTATTTTCTCTTTTAAGTTGCTCTCCAAATGAATGCCATGATCCATGTCTTCTATGTATCAAGCTCTAGACATTTCTGAAAGATGCAGAGGAGGGGTCCCAAAGGATTCCTTGCTCTGAAGTCAAGGAAGGTTCATGTATAACTAGTGAGGGAAAATAATAAGCTAGGGACAGAGAGGGGATGCACCAGGAAGGGGGAAGTTGGATGAGGGAAGGTCTCTGAGAGGCTCATCGGGACTCTTCTGCCCATGGAATCTAGAAAGGTAGTTAGTGGCAGCCTCACTGGAACCCCCAAACCCACATAGACAAAGTTTGGGCACCCTTCTGTCCATATATTTCCACTCCAGAAGCCCTCCAGGGTTTCGATAAAGGGTCCCTTTTCTAAGTTAACGTGGGAGGCAAGTGGCCATTCTAACTTTTGTCTAACAGCTTTATTATCTCTTGCCTACAAATCCTGGACCAGATGGCCAAGGTGTGACTTTAACTTAGTTCCAGAGTGACAGGTGGTGGGGTGGAGGAGGCAGCTGGAGAGATGGCTTAGTGGTAAGAGCACTTGCTCTTGCAGAGGATCAGGGTTTGATTCCTAGCACACATGGGGGTTCATAACCATCTGTAACTCCAGTTCCAGGGGCTCTGGTGGCCTCTTGTGGTTTCCAGGGTACTACATGCAAGTGGTGCACAGGCATGCCTGTGGGGCCCCCTCCAGCCCCCCCCCCACAAGTGACAAGCAAACCCTGGACTCTCTAGACCCAAATACCCTACCAGGAGGGGCCCTGTTCCATTCTCTTTCCCTGACTGTCACTGGCGTGTTGTTGAGAAGTAACCTGGAAACAGCAGCTGTTCTTTCCAGATTCCCCAGTACTGGGACACGCATGGGGGCTCGCATGGCGTGGAGCTGCTACCTTGTCTCCTATGTGGATTGAGATCCTAGGCCCAGCTGAACCAAAGGAAGCAGAAGCGGCGGAATGGGCTGGAAGAGCTTCCTCTGGGTGTACTTGCTTATGATGCCCTTCTATAAAAAGCAAGTGGGAAAGCCAGGAGAGACCTTCCATGACCCTCTGAAGTCACTAAAATGTTTTATTTACTTATTTTAAAGATTTATTTATTTATTTATACTTATGCTTTGTGTGTAGACCTGCCTAAACACCATAAGAAGACACCCTGGATTGTGAGCCTCCATGTGGTTGCTGGGTATTGAATTCAGGACCTCTGGGAAGAGCAGCCAGTGCTCTTAACCTCCGAGCCCAGCCCAAACCAGAAAGTTTATATTAAAAAAATTGGGGGGGGGGCTGGAGAGATGGCTCACTGGTTAAGAGCACTGGTTGCTCCTCCAGAGGACCTGAGTTCAATTCCCAGCAATCACGTGGCAGCTCACAGCTGCCCATTACTCCAGTTCCAGCAGATCTGGCCTCCTTACACAGACATATATGCAAGCAAAACATCAATGCACATAAAAGTGAATAAATTATTAAAAATTTTTTTGAAACAGGATCTCATGTATCCTAGGCTGTCCTCAAACTCACAGGGGTAGCTCAATATGACCTTGAACTTCTTAGGCACATGTGTGTGTGTGTGTGTGTGTGTGTGTGTGTTCCTGTGAGTATATAGAAATTGTATTTGTGCATGTGGAGGCCAGAAGGTCAATCCCAGGGTGTCTTTTATCAATCACTCAGTCACCTTGAACACAGAGCAGATCGATTCGGCTAGGGTGGCCAGCTGTGAGCTCTGGGGTACATCACCCTGCCTCTGTTCCCCTTCTCCATGCCAACACACCACCTCGTCTAACATCTACACGAATACTGGCGATAGGAACTCAGGTCCTCACACCCACACAGTAGGTCCTTTACCATCTCTCCAGCCGTGGATGACCCTGATCCTTCTACCTCCATCTCCCAAATTCTGGGATTCCAGATTCATGCCAACACAACCAGTGTTGCTAGGGATCACACGCAGGACTTGCCACATGCCAGGCAAGCACTTTACCAACTAATCTATACCCTAGCCCCATTTTTTGTTATTTGTTGCTTATTTTGATTACTGTTTTGTTTTTGGTTTTTGAGACAGGTTCTCATTGTGTAGCCCTGGCTGACTTCAAATGCACAAAAATCCACCTGCCTCTACTTCCTAGTGCTGGGGTTAAAGGCGTGCATCACCAGGAATCACCAGGACCAGTCACTGTTATTATTTTAAGGACAGAGATTGTCTTCGAGGCCAGCCTGGTCTACAAAGTGAGTTCCAGGACAGCCTCCAAAGCTACAGAGAAACCCTGTCTCGAAAAACAAAAAAACAAAAACAAAAAAAAAAAAACAAAAAACAAAAACAAAGACAGAGATTGTCCACAATCTGGGAGTTTGTTATTTTTGTTTCGCTCTGTTGTCATCTGATTGTTCCCAAATCTCCATTCTGTTTTGTATTGTTGGTGGGTTCTCAACACCAGATGTGTACAGCCCTGTGTCCCCCTGTCCCAAGGCTCGTGCCAAAGTGAGGTGGAGGGAGGGAGAAGAGACAGTAACTGAGGCTGGGATCCTCAGACATGGGGGTAGTGGTGGTGGAGAGCTGCTCCAGGGAGCGTAACTTCCCTATGGTGCTGACTGGGAAAGGACCCAGGGCCTTCTGATTCAGGAGGCCGCACACTGCGTGGGGCAGGAGGCCCATTGCCCAGCCCTGACACTTACTTCCATCCCCACACAGCCTCCTCCACGGCGGGTTGTGAAGATTCAATAAGAAAACAGGTAAAAAGTGGGGGCCTGAAACACCACTAAGAAAACCCCTGCATCCGCCTGTTCAGCAGCCCTGGGGGTGGGAGTGGGGCTCACACCCAAGATCTGAAGTCACCACCTTTGGCCTTTCCCGGCTGGCTCACCGGCTCGCATCACCGACAACGAACACTGACTGCTCCTCCCTTTCCATCCACTCTGCTGCTCTGTCACCGGAGGCTGGCCCCAGGTGTCTCATCAGCCGTTTTCACTCTCAAGTCCCAAATCCAAATCCATCCCGCTCTCCCACATGCAAATCTGACGCTGTTTACATGGAGTGGTGCAGCATGTCCCCCAAGGCTTCCAGGATGAAGCTCAAAGGCCTGCCTGGGCACACAAGCCCCTAACCCCCCAAGCCCATGTGGCTTCCCCACAGCATCCCCTTCTTCTTACATTCTCTGCCGCTGGGAGGAGGCACCCCAGGACCAGGGACACCCTGTGCCTTCGTACTTTAGGACGGGAATTTCTGTCTGTCTGGAGGCCCTCCTCTCTTCAAGGTACCACCTCACCTAGATGAGGTTCAAATGCCAGCTCATCAAATCCTCCCAAGTCCCTGTGTCACTTAGGTGCTGGCCCACAGCAGCCTAAACTCAAGGCTCTCTTGTTTTCTACGCTCCCCTCAGAATGGCAGGGAGGCTTCTTCCCCACCCAGGACAAGGAAAAACCCAGAGGCCCGGAGCTGAGCTTTCCAACACTCTTCTGGCCACCTAGGCAGGTGCCAGTGGCCCCAGATTCAAGCCTATATCGAATTCCGGTGTCTAGAGTCAAGCCAACTGTCTTTGCCCAAGCTTTCAGAAAGCGCAGGCAGGCCGCGGAAAAGCCAGGGTAGGGCAGACATGCCACCCTGACACACTTCGTTCAATATGGGGGCAGAGGAAACAGTGCGAGCAAAATGCTGGGCTATTGGTGGGGCGTGAACTCAACTCCCCTCCGCTGATCTGCAAGGGCTCATCTTCTCCTCCCAGGTTCTGGGAGACCCACGTGAGCTGGGCCTCCAGCAACGGGGCCCTAGCCTGATCCTAAATAAGGAAGCCACAGACGCAGATCAAGTTTCCCGGAGTTCAGTATTTACAGGTTCCCTGGACCAGGCCAATCCTCCTTCTCCTTAGCTGCTCTCGGCTGGCCCAGTAGGGAAAGAATAGAAGGGGCCCCTTTTGCTCCCCACCCCCCCCTTTCCAACCAGGCGTGCCTCTCTCCCTCCTCCTCGCCCCTCCCAGCCGCTCGCAGGCCTCTCTGGGAACAGTGCTCTGTCGCCGCATTCCAAAGCTCCGGCGGCTCTTTGAGGTCACGTGGTGCAATGGGGGTGGGAAGGCGGGACGCCCCTGACCTGGCAGGCGGCCTTGAGGCCACACGGTGAGGCAGGCGCAGATTCTGGTCCACCCCCTCCCCCACCTCCCAGGGGGTCAGCTTTGGTTTGGCCTCAGGAGCGTAAAGGGAGGCAAATTGGGCTTTTACCCTCCTCGAGCCTGCGGCGTGGCTTTGGGGTCTGCGTGCCTTTCACTTTCCAGCACCTTGGTGGGAATCAGGAGGGAGGGACTGGGGTCTAGGCTCTTGGTCTGCAAAATGGACCGGGAAGCGAGAAAACTGTATAAAGCCAGCCGCTTGGCGAAGGCCACGATCTACCCTGGTCCAGCAAAGTTTAAGTTGGTTCCCTCAGTTAGGTCTGGTTGGAGGTTTCCTGAAAGCTGTCTTTTGGGGCAGGGGACCAAGGGATCTGAGAGTATCTATCGGTCTCCTTCCAAAATGGGCGGACAGAGACTCCCAAGCAACTAACTCGAATGTAGGGTAAACTTAGAAAAACCCTGCCCTGGAGTTGACCCTGGTCACCGGAAGGGGCCCTGGCTTCCTCTCAGGGTTGAGGCTAGACAGGAATGGCTTGGGGAGTTGACCATAGCCTATCGCCAACTTGCCTCAGAAGTCGGACCTTGTGGGAGGGAGGGAGGGTAGACAGTGGAATGCGGAGGGGAGACCAGGACTCTCACATTCGTGATGAGAGGGGAGTGATTTCTTCGCGAATCATTAAGTCACTCATTCGAATGTTTATTGGACCCTTAGTAAAAATGACACATTGCTTTCATCCAGGACTCCTCCGAGCACCAGGCCACTATGAGATCTTGCCCTCTCCACACTGAGAGTCCTGTGGTAGATGTAAATTGAGGCCAGTTACTATCCTGTGTGCAGAAGGGTACACCTGGAGGCTGGAAAGGAAGAGGAGACTGGGGGAAAGGCCAGCGATGGTTGGAAAGGGAAATGTTCCCTGAGGCATGGTAGAGAGAGCGGTTGGGGGAAGGAAGAGAGATACATAGTTCTTAAGAAGCCCGGGGGCATGGGAGCTTAAATAGTTCAGTCTCCAGATGATGGCTGCCTCTTAAGCAGGAGGTGGAGGAATAGCAGTGGAGACAGAGGGGGTAAGTTGGGGAACCATGCCCACCCTGGAGGATGACCAAGACACCCCCGCCTTCCCAACTCCACCGAGTTCTGCAGGCAGGGAGGCTGTGACTTCAGCTCTGTAGCTACTCTGCAAAATTAATATTTATCTTATCAAATAGCGTGCTCACAGCTTAAAAATCAAACCGTGCCAAAAGGCTTCCGACAGGATCAGAAATCCCCTTGGCTTTTCTCCTAAGCCCAATCCTAGTCCCGGGGGGACCACCCCTTCCATTTCTTAGCTGTTTCTTCTGCAGTCTCCTTTTCCGTTTCTGAATAATGTATGCACTGCCGTTCTGGAATTCTGGATTCATCTCTAATTTGTTCCCTTCTTGTTTTGGTAGAGGGGGCTTTGGATCTTTGCTGCCTTCTTTCTCTGTGTCCATTCTGTTATGACTTCACCATAATCGCTTTACCAACTTTTTAAATATTGTTGGTTCTCGATGCAAGCGTGCTGGTTACATTTCCTTTTCTAATGTGACTTTTTGTTGTCTGCCACAGTGTTTACATCTCCTTTCCATTACAACTGTTTAATTTTTTTAGTTAGTTGTCTCATTTTGTCTTTGCTTGGTTTCTCTGACTATCTGGCTCTCTCTTCCCACACCCTTCAACAGCTCTGCAAAAAACACCCTCAGTACAATTTCGCATATGGCCAAAGCTGTCAGAATTTTATCATGTTTTCCTCCTCTCACAGATATGTGTCCTGGGATACTCTATCCTGGCAATTTTATTCTGGATATGCTTAGTAGGCCGGTGGCACACCTGCCCTTACAGATTTCCCATGGTCGGGACTGGTCAGTTCTGGTTTGTTTGTCTGTTTGGTTTGGTTTTTTGACACAGGGTTTCTCTGTGAAACTGTCCTGGCTATTCTGGAACTTACTTTGTAGATCAGGCTGGCCTCGAACTCACAGA